AGAAGAGGCTGAACAAATATTTGTCAGGGATGCTTCAGGCTGCTCCTGCATTGGGCAGGGGGTTGTGCTAGATGGCCTGTATGGTTCTGTGATTCTATAACAGTGGAATCAGCTGCCTAGGGGGGTGGATAGGTCCCCATCACTGGCAGCTTTCGAGAAGAGGCTGGACAGATATTTGTCAGAGATGCTTCAGGCTGCTCCTGCATTGGGCAGGGGGTTGGACGAGATAGTCTGTATGGCCCCTTCCAACTCTCTATGATTCTACGATTCTATCCTGGACCTTGGAGCACCTGCGCTCCCCGCAACACCGATGTGCCCCCTTGTCCCACTCTTACCTTGCTCCGATCCCGCATGTCGGGGTAGAGGATGATCTCGGCATAGTCCTTCATGGCCGTGGGAGAGGAGGTGTGGAACGTCGCCAGGATCCCGGCCCGGCCCAAGCCGCTGCATCCCCCCACCTCCTGCGGCATCCGGGCAGCTGCGGTGGGCGTCCCAACCCTCACCACATTGGCCAGGAGAGAACGGCAGAGGGTCCCCTCCCGAGGCAAGAAGAGCCGGGACTGTACCCCAGTCTCGATCTTCTGACCCAGAGTGCCTGACGGGGGAGTCGAACCGACGGCTCCTGTTGCCCCGGCCAGCAGTTCCCTGCCAGGCGTACAAGAGGCGTTTGCTTGCTGGCTCCTGGGAAACCAAGGAATTTGTAAGCATTAAAGCCACCAACCTTCCTCCTACTTCTTAATCCAACTCAGCTGAGGACAGGGAGGTCAAAGACCCCTGCGTTGGCAACCCCAGTCTTAAAGGCACAGCATCGCCGAGCCCTTTCTTTTGTTCCCTGCCGTTCCCGGAGATCCTGGAAGTGGGTAGCGGGAGAGCCAGAAAGGGTGACTTAGAACCATAGAATCACAGAGTCATTGGAAGGGACCCTACAGGCCATCTCGCCCAACCCCCTGCGCAGTGCAGGATCCGCCTAGAGCAGAGGTGGCTGAACTGGCTCAATTTAAGAGCCACGTAGAATAAACGTCAGACGTTTGAGAGCCGCAAGACACGAACAGATATTACTTGCTTTTATTATAAAATATGCAGATTTGCTTTTCATGAGCATGAAATGAGACGGCCAAAAATAAAAGGGGTAAAAACAGATAGTGATCATGATATATTTATCTGTCCAATTGTATTTATCTGTTTGCTGATGGTGTTTATTTGCCTAAGAGAGAGAGAGAAAGAGAGAGAGGTGGAAAGAAAGGAGGAAAGAGCTGGAAAGAGAGAGAGAAAAACAAAGAAAGCAAATAGACGGGAGGGAGGGAGGGAAGGAGAAAAGTATGTCTCCCCTTCACTCCCCCAGCTGCCCTGCCAGGAGCCGCACAATACATGTGAAAGAGCCGCATGTGGCTCCCGAGCCGGAGTTGGGCCACCCTTGGCCTAGAGCAGTGTTCCCTCTAAGCTGAGTGAGTGTGAGCTAGCTCACAGTTTTTTGAGAATCTGGCTCACTCATTTTTGTCTCTGCTCAGGAAGGATGGCTCCGGGGCAAACTAATTTATGCAGCGGCCAAATCGCTCGCTCACAACTTCAATGCCAGTCGCTCACAAAGTAGAATTTTTGCTCACAAGACTCCACAGCTTAGAGGGAGCATTTAGAGCATCCCTGATGAGTGTTTGTCCAGCTGCTGCTTAAAGACTGCCAGGGAGGGGGAGCTCACCACCTCCCTGGGCAGCTGATTCCACTGTCACACAAGTCTGACTGTCAAAACGTTTTCCCCCACGATCCAGCCGGTACCTTCCTGTCCTTCATTTAAACCCACTATTGCGAGTCCTCTCCTCTGCTGCCAACAGGAGCAGCTCCCTGCCCTCCTCGAAGTGACAGCCCTTCAGAGACTTCAAGAGAGCAATCCTGTCTCAACCTCCTCTTCTCCAGACTGGACATTCCCAAGTCCCTCAGCCTTTCCTCGTAGGTCTTGTCTCCAGGCCCCCGATCACCCCCATCACTCTCTAGTGCCTTCGTGGTCCTGTTCTTCTGCAGCATGACATGTGGCTGTGCTCCACTCCAGAAGATGCTGCATTCCCCCACTGTGTGTTATTCAGGGCCCAGAACAGGAGGACGGCCACAGAAACAGGCTTAAACCCAGTAGGGATGCCAGCCTCCAGGTGGGACCCGGGGATCTCCTGGAATTACAGCTCAGTCTCCAGACTACAGAGATCAGTTCTCCTGGGGAAACTGTTCCCCACTGAGGTTCTGCCCTTTCCCTAGACTCCATCCCACGAATCTCCAGGAGTTCCCCAACCTGGAGCTGGCAACCCTACATCCCTGCCCCCTGGCTGAGGGAACCTAGCAACCCTAAGACCCACCCTTTAAGTCCCTGAGAGGCCCCTTTTGATGCCCTGATACAGGATTGCCAGCCTCCAGGTGGGTAAACACAGAAAACACGGTGTTGAAATAATAAACACAATATTCACATGTACTTATAGCTAAATATATTTGCTTTTTATGCACAACATCAACTCTAGTGTATTGTAAACACTTTCAAACGACAACATCACATTTCAAACACTTTCAGACTAAGTTATATCACATGAAGAGTCCAACTGTCTTCTTCCTGATGGAGGATAAATACCAATGTACAGTTATTTGTACCGAACAATGCAACACGGTGTTTTCTGCGGTTATCTAGCTTAGCCGTGTTCCCTGTGTGCTTGTTGTTGAGCCTCCAGGTGGGGCCTGGAGATATCCTTGGAATCATACCCAGTTTCCAGATCAGAGATCAGTTCCCATGGAGAACATGGCTGCTTTGGAGGGTGGACAGTATGGCACTGTACCCTCCTGAAGTCCCTCATACCCTCATAAGACCATAAGAGAACATAAGAACATAA